AGATTTATCCATTGGTATTATTCTGCAAGATCCTCCAAGCTTCTTCTCCTCCTCCTTCTTTTCTTGAAAATGAACAAATTTCAAAGGCAAGAATGTGAAATTTTCCTTACCTTGTTGTGGTTGTCTTAGGTTTGAAGTTTCTGTAGTTCTTGGGTTTGAAGTTTCTGTAGTATTCTTCGAGACCTGTCTTGTGTCTCCTCCGTCTTCTGTCAGAGCTTTTCTGCTTCCCCACAAAGGCAAAATGCACAGAGCAACTACTCTCCTGAAACCCCGCAATAATTCTGAGAGACATCTGTAAACCCCCCACATAATCAGAGAGTGTTTGCAAAATTTGAAGCAAACCAAAAAGAAAAGAGATGCGTAAAGGACAGCGCTGACTATTTGGGTTAAGGGAAAGCCTCGGAGAGAGAGAGGGAGAGAGGGAGGGAAGGAACGGGAGAAGCACAGATGAATCGTGGTGGCGCACTGAACTGACTGCGGTTCTTAATTATTTATACCCAGAGAAATAGATTGTTCTGTCATTGTTGCGTGTGCTTATAATTTACGTGAATGTGAATGTGAACTTCAAGTAACACTGAAAGTTTCAATCAAAGATGAAGTCTGGGGTGGTGGAAATCTGATTCAGGCGCGTGGTGGTGGCGCCAAAAGCATCAGGCAAGGATGGAGTTACAAGAGCCAAAAGGAAAAGGAAAAAAAACAAAGGGACCATAGGAAAAAAACCCCCCGGGGCCCGAGAGAGAACATAAAAAATGCACATTAATCCCTTTTTTTTTTTAGTGAACAGAATTTATTATTCAGAAGCAAAAAGCATACAACTAGTTACAAACGAGAGAAGGAGAACCAAAAACAAAAAAGACATGCACATTAATCCTTTTATCATTCGATGATGGTATAAATTTTTTTTAAAAATCTTTAACGGTTATAGTCAATATTTTAACGGTTAATTTTAATTTGCTAACAGTAGGAAAACAACAGTTAAGATTCCTAAATATATAAGACCTATTTTATAATATATTTTACACTATAAAATAGATTTTATATTTAGAATTGAAAAAATAATATTTAATAAGTGAAGCCATATATGATATATCTGAGCCAAAAAATAATAATTGGAGGCATATAAAAGCATAAACAAAGGCCCACGTCAAAAAAATTTCCGCACTTTTAAATCAATATGCACGAGAAGAATTCTGCTCCATTGGTTTTTTTTTTTTTTTTTTACCGTTATATCTTTTTCTCTAGATTCTTTTCACACGAATATCTTTCAATGGTGTCGAATATTTTCACTAGTATGTCTGGTTCGGTAATCAATTCACTCTTGTTATGAATAAAATAATGATTCGATCACTTACTAGCTGGGTGAGGGATGACTGGTTAATTCCAATCTGGAAGAATATTAGATAGCAATATTAACTACTTTAATTTAGCATATTTGAAAAGCCAAATGTAGTTGGGTATACAATAAAAAAAGAAGAAGAAACATTTGGATTCTCAAGTTGTCCTTGCCAGTGCTAATCGCAGAAATTTTTTGGAAGCTAATAAGGAGAATCTAGGAAAAATTGCACTTAGGTCCCACAGAAGATAATTAATTTCAAAAAAGTTTCTGAAAATCCCGAAATGATTCTGAAATCCCCAAAGATAATATTACCAAAATTGTTGTCCACAACTTTCTCTTGTAACATAACTTAGTGAGATATCTCCATTACTTTTCAAGTACCTGAACCTCTTATAGGGTTTTGTAATTTGTTATGTCTTGGTACTCTTATGGAGCGCTTCCCTCCTCAATATGATTTTTAAATTTTATACTCCTTTTTATCCTAGATAATTATATTAGAAAGAACATTTTCAGTTGGAATACGAGATTTACTAATCATGCTTTAGGTCAGTGATCTTCAAAATAATAGATTTGCAATTTTTGCGAGGCAGAAAGATTCTATTTGATCTTATTAATTGCCAATGGAGGAGGATTGTAATGGCTAGCAAGTGGAGAGAGCGAAGGACGTTTTAGTGGTGGCATCTTTGTTGATGCACGCTTTAGCACCATTAACAAGATGCGGAATATGGAGCGACGGATGCTGATGCAACAGCAGATGAATGAAATGTCAGGTGATTCATCGGAAGCTGTCGCCACGGCAGAAGCCGATGAATAAGGTTAGGTTTTGGTGATTCAGATCTACATGCTCAGGAAATTAGTGACAGATTTTGTATAGGCATTTTGAAAATTTGGAGGAAAAGTTTTGCCACTATAATTATGAGAACTTAGGCTTTCGCATTCTGTTCTCACCGTCTTGATGAGAGCTGAGCAGTACTGTGAGGTATTTAGTGAGAGATTATATAGGCATTCTAAGAATTTGGAGAAAGAGTTTTGCCACTATAATTATAATTCTGAGAATTTAAGGGTTTGTTTGGTTGGAGGGGAGGGTAGGGGAGGGGAGGGGAGGGAAAATGAGTCCCTTCCCTCATTTGGTTAAAAATTTTGGAAGGGAGGAGAGCTAAAATGTCCCCTCCCTTCCCCTCATTTTAACTCCCTTTCAAATTAGGGGTTTTTGGAGGGGAGCTAAAATTTTGGACCATTATACTCTTATAGTTTTTTTAATATTCCACTACTACCCATAAAATATATTATTATAATATTTATTTCAAATAAAAAATATATTATCCTAAGTAAAAAATAAAAAATATATTATTTAAATAAAAAATTATAAATATTATAAAATTAATTGTTTTTTATAAATATATTATTTATTAAAAATATTTTAAAGCTGAAAAAAAGGATAGCCTAAAGAGAATAAAATTTCATTTTTCTTAGAGCATATAAAATTTGTTAATTTGATTATTTTAAATATATTATTATATTAATTAGAATAAAAAATTACTGTACCAATTTTTTAATGCACATATTAACATGATAAGACTGAATTTTCATTAGATTATATAATTGAAATTAAGATGTAAATTAATTTATATAATATATCAATAAAAAATATAAACTAATATGTAAGGGTAAAATGGTAAATTGATTATTACTATCCCTCCTCTCCCTTCCTTGAACTAAATAAGAGATCATTAAATATCCTCCCCTCCCTTTCTTTTTAATCAAACCAAACAAGGTGAGGATAAAACCTCCCCTCCTCCGCCCTCTCCCACCCTCCCCTCAAACCAAACAGGCCCTAGAAGTCTGCATTCCGTGGTCATCATTTTGATGGTGCTAAGCAGTATTGTGAGGTACTTTTTTTTGTGATGCAGTTTATTTTAATTTATCCAGTACTTTTAAAATATTTTTTTCAGTATTTCAAAATATTTTGTGATGTAATATCACGAAATAGAGAATATTTTAAAACACTAAATATATATTAAAACATTTTTCTTATTTTTCTGAATTATTTTTCCTTTTTTTTCTTTTTTTTGCTTAAAAAAATTATTTGTATTAAAATTATTTTTGATTAAAGTTCATCTAACCCTCTAAAATATTTTTTGGATCTTTTTAATATCTCAAAATATTTTATGATTCATCTAATGTTCTAAAATATTTTTTTCATATGTATCTAGTGTCTTCAAATATTTTCTATTTCATGACATTGTATTACAAAATATTTTAAAACACTAGATAAATCAAGATGATGAGCATGAAATGCAAACCCGATGAATAAAGAAATGTAAGAACATGATTCGCTTGAAAAAGAGAAAAAAAAGGTCCAGTCATAAAAAAAAATTGCCAACTCATTAAGTCAACTGCCACATAATCATTTTTAACACTGACAAGCCATGTCAGTTAACATAAGGATTTTGACCAAATTTGACTAAAGCTTCAAGGACTCGTATCCTAAAAAATAAACTCTAAGGATCTTGACCAAAATTATAGGGACCACAAAACATGGTTTTCCCAAGAAAGAAAGATGGCGTGCTCCAATTGATAATTATCTAAAAATTAATTAGATCAATTTTATGGTAAGAGATTCTTTTGGTTGCTTGCTAGGTAAGAAAAGCAACATCAGTTCTTATGGCCGAAGCAATGAGAACGAAGGAAATTTTTCGGCATGCTTTAAATAATAACCTGAAAAATAAAAAATGTGATTTCTGAATATGATAATTAAAAACCTGTGCCGTGATTTTTTGTTGGAAGTATTCTTTTGGAAAGAAATCTCATCAAGAGCTACTTAATACTCATCCGATCCTAAATATAAAACTTTTTTTGTAGTATAATTTATATTATAAAAAAGATTTTATATTTAGAACCCGAAGAGTAATTTGAATTCCTAGAGAGGCTAATTTGATTTTGATTGTGTTTTTATGCCTACCACCTCTTTTGTTAAAGCTACTAAACAGAAATTTCTGAAAAAGACTTGATTTTGTAGTATAAAACTTTTGTTGACCGAAAAAGACATTGAAACTTAGTGATATATTTTTTTTATCAAATGTTTTCCGCACAAGCTCTGAAAACCTGATATTTAGATGTCAAAATACAAAACTGAGAAAATTTGGAGAAATTATTTTTCATAATTGTATTTAATTTTCCATTTAATGTCATAGTTTAAAATTTAAAACTAAGTCTATATAATTCAATGAAACATTTAATAAATTTAACCCTTACGGTTAGTTTTATAGATTTTTTTTATTAAGGTTTCAGTGATATAATTAATCATATTTTCCGTTCATATTCAGAACATGTAATATTTATAAAGATAAAAAAGGATAAAATGTATTTATAAAAATAAAAGGGATAAAATGTAGATGATAAAATAAATTTAATTCATGCATATAAAAATATTGAAAATCATTTTAGATATCATGTTGTAATGCTAAATTCTTAAATTAAAAAAATTAAAATTTGAATTAAAATACAAGAACAATCAATCCATCAGCAAGTCTTTAACAGTAGACTCATGCTGAAACTTATTTTAAAATTAAATAGAAGAATCATTCTATTAATTCAAGTTCGCGTGAATGGCAGAAGCTCCAGTCAGTTGAGTAAATACTTGAGGTTCGAGTCATAACCAATGTATAAATATGGGAGACAGTTTTACATTTAAGAGAGATTAACGCCTGTAATTAAGTAATTACAATCTTCATATGGAAGCACTTTACATTCTGATAGAAAATCTGGGAGGAGCAGCTACCGTACTACCAAAGTACAGAGTCACACCCTTAAGATAGTTCTGTACATGATTGAGTTCAACCTGCAAATTTGAAACCATTCACCTTTCTAATCTCTCTCTCTCTCTCTCTCTCTGTGGGGTAAAATTGTAAATGGAAACATAATTCTAGAATGAAAAACATATTGCAGAGATTTTACCTCAAGCTCCAAAGGAGGAGAAGACAGCCTACACAACTCTGCAACTTGTTCTAGGTTAATGTTCCGAGGTAGAAACATAATGATATTAGGAGTTATAGCTTGAGCAACTTTAAACAAGGTATAACTGCACAAGAGATTAACATTTTCCCGGTTCAATGTAACAACAATAACAACAAATCTTATCTCATTACATTAGATCGGTTACATGAATTATGATAATACTTTTGGTTTTTAATATAAAAGTTCGTTTGATTTTTATTTTGATCATAAATATAAAATTTCAATATATTTTGTTTCTTAAATTTATTTATTTTTTTCGAAGGTAATTTTTATAATAATGGTAGTTCTGACGAATACATTTGACTAGTAAGGATATTTTAGGAAAGACAACATCTATTTATCACAAATAACTAACTTTAACAGTTTTCTTAATTTACTCAAATTAGTCAACTAGTTCTTAATTATATTAAGAACCAGAGGTAATATCATATAAAAAATACTGTACAAGTCAACAATTTACTATCATTAAATTTTATGAATTAAGACATACAGGGAGAACACTAACTTATTTCAAACAAATAAGATGACAACATTGGCTAATTTTAAACCAGGGGAACCAAATATAACCTTCATGAAACTAGAGAGATCAAGAGTAAACTTACGACACTAACATACTGTATGGCCACAAAACTAAATGCCAGTAACATATTGATGCAAGTAGAAATTGAAAAGCTAATCTCATTCAAAAGCAAGCAAGCAGCATGACATACCCATCAACTGGCTTAAGCAACTCAAGTGTGAATGTTTGGACGTCTTTATAAGAAGGACCGCCCCATGGTGGTGAAAGGAACACTATATCTCCCTGGCGGAATGAAATCATAAAAGCAATAAACAGCCCTCAGTTGTTGAACAGGGGCATGGTTCTCAGGGGAAAAAAAAAAAAAGAAAAAAGACAGTGACAGTAAAATTTTGCCTTCAACGATGGAGCAAGCGCAAAAAAATCTCCAACAATGAAATCAATATATTCCTCAACTCCATATACTTTTGCATTATTCATTGCCAGTGCAACTTTTGCAGGATCTATGTCTATGGCAATAACATGACAACCCCTGAAAAATTGGATATAACAGACAAACTATAAGAACGAAGATATAATAACATGTTTGTGTGTGTGTGTGTGTACATATTGTCTAGTTCCTGCAAGGTTCCAAAGCAAAAGCATAGAAATGAAGCTTTGAGATAGTAACTAATTTTTGCACTGATTCCAAATCGATTACCCTAAAAAGTGCAAACTGCAAAAACAAAGACAAGCTATCCTGACAAAATATACCTCTGTACCTAAACGAAGGCAACCAAAGTCAATATTAAAAATGCTGAATTTAGGTTGTTCACTGACAGAGTTCTTGCATTGCATTTTTAGCATAAAATTACCATACAACATTTTCAGCTCGCTTCATATATGATGAGAAAATACGGATTTAGATTCTCTGCAGTGCCATAATTTGTCAAGTGCTCAAATGCAGTGTATTATGGACAGTAAAATTGATTATATGTAAAATAAAAATATAAGAAGTAACACAATTTAATTTTATAACTGCTCTTGAGCACTCTATGGAGTTAGGCAGTGCAAGGAATACAAGTCTAACATGCACATAACTATCGACTGGAAGGAGTAGTAATTTATGAAGTATATGTCAAGGTTCAGAATATGCAGGCAATTACTGAAACTAGGCAGAAATAACAAATAAGACCTATAAAAGCAGAAGAAAGTTACTTTCTGGCAAACTGAATAGCATTTCCTCCAACTCCAGAGAAGGCATCAATCACAACCTCATGACCCGTACACCTCCCAGCATGTCTAATGGCAATTTCTTCGGGTGTCACAGAGAACCAACCTTCTTCGTCCATTTTGATACCTTGGTCATATTTCGAGAATAGTCTGTATCGCTGGCGCCAATATTTCTTGGTAAGTCGACTAATTCCTTCCTTCGAAGCCTCAGGATTTCTAAAACCCTTAACTGAGGGGGAAAAAAAGATTTATGCATTGGTACTGTTCTGCAAGATCCTCAAAGCTTCTCCTCCTCCTCCTTCTTTTCTTGAAAATGAACAAATTTCAAAGGCCAGAATGTGAAATTTTCCTTACCTTGTTTTGGTTTTCTTGGGTTTGAAGTTTCTGTAGTTCTTGGGTTTGAAGTTTCTGTAGTATTCTTCGAGACCTGTCTAGTGTCTCCTCCGTCTTCTGTCAGAGCTTTTCTGCTTGCCCACAAAGGCAAAATGCACAGAGCAACTGCTCTCCTGAAACCCAGCAATAATACTGGGAGACATCTGCAGACCCTACACATAATCAGAAAGTGTTTGCAAAATTTGAAGCAAACCAAAAAGAAAAGAGATGCGTAAAGGACAGCGCTGACTATTTGGGTTAAGGGTAAGCCTCGGAGAGAGAGAGAGGGAGAGAGGGAGGGAAGGAATGGGAGAAGCAAAGATGAATCGTGGTGGATCACTGAACTGACTGGGGTTCTTAATTATTTATACCCAGAGAAATAGATTGTTTTGTCATTGTTGCTTGTGCTTATAATTTACATGAATGTGAATGTGAATGTGAATTTCAAGTAACCCTGAATGTTTCAATCAAAGATGAAGTCTGGGGTGGTGGAAATCTGATTCCGGCGCGTGGTGGTGGCGCCAAAAGCATCAGGCAAGGATGGAGTTACAAGAGCCAAAAGGAAAAGGAAAAAAGAAATTGACCATAAAAAAAAAACCGGGGGGGGGGGGAAGAGAACATGAAAAATGCACATTAATCCTTTTATCATTCGATGATGGTAAAAAAAATTTAACGGTTATAGTCAACATTTTAACGGTCAACTTTAATTTGCTAACAGTAGGAAAAAAAACAGCTAAGATTTAAAATTTTTAAAGTAAATTTGTACAAAATAAAACTTTCATTTTCCTCAAATCAAACAAAGAATTGTTTGAATTTGAAAGATATACTTTGTAGTGTTTATATAGATACAATATATTCCTTCGGTCTTAAATATATAGAACCTATTTTATAATATATTTTACACTATAAATAGATTTTATATTTAGGATTAGAAGAGTAATATTTAATAAGTGAAGCCACACATAATATATCTGAGCAAAAAAAAAAAAAGGGGAGGCATATAAAAGCATAAACAAAGGCCCACGTCAAAAAAATTTCCGCACTTTTAAACCAATATGCACGAGAAGAATTCTGCTCCATTGCTTTTTTTCTTTCTTTCTTTTTTTTTTTACCGTTCATATCTTTTTCTCTAGATTCTTTTCACACGAATATCTTTCAATGGTGTCGAATATTTTCACTAGTATGTCTGGTTCGGTAATCAATTCACTCTTGTTATGAATAAAATAATGATTCGATCACTTACTAATTGGTGAAGGATGACTGGTTAATTCTAATCTGGAAGAATATTAGAGAGCAATACAAACTACTTTAATTTAGCATATTTGAAAAGCTAAATGTAGTTGGGTATACAATTAAAAAAAAAAAACATTTGGATTCTCAAGTTGTCCTTGCCAATGCTAATCGCATAAATTTTTTGGAAGCTAACAAGTGGAATCCATCGTAAACCAATATGAAACTTAACAAGAAAGAAAGACGCCATTCTCTTAATAATTATTTTAAAATTAATTTAAATTGTGCTTTTGTAGAAAGATCAAGTGAAGTTACTATCAGCTTTATGGTAAGAGATTCTTTTGGCTGGCTGGTTGCTCGATGATTTTGTAAGAAAATGCAAGGCAGCATAATTTCTTATGGCAGAAGCAATGACAACGAGGAAGCTTTCTGGCAAGCTTTAAAAAATGTGATTTTTTTTTAATATGGCAATTAAAAGCCTGTGTCATGATTTTTGATTGGAGATGTGATATCTTGATTGAAAACATTCTTTCGCAAAGAAATTTCATCAGGAATCACTTAATAATTTGTATTCTTAGATAACTAACTTGATTGATGCTTGTCTTTTATTCCCATCACCTCTTTCCTTACAACAATTTTTGAAAATAGAGTTTTAACTGAAGAAGCTAGGATAAGAATGAATTGATTTGTATATTGTCTACATGTTGTTATGGTTTTTTGACTTTGTAGGTTTGATTTAGTCATACAAAGGTTTTTTTTTTGGACGAAAAAACTGAAACTTAGTAATACACTACTTTTGATACAGAATATAAGAACTAAATAACTAATTTGACAATATCAAGGAAATTAGTTAAATTGGTTAATTGTAATAAATGTGTATTGACTTTTCTAAACTATACTTTTTAATCATGTATATTTGAATTATTTTTAGTGTTAACTAAGGAATGAAAACCCGGACCGAACCGGCTGGTTCGCAAACCAATCACCTGTCCGGTCTAGGTGATTGACAAAATCGGTGACAAAATGAACCGGCGTGACTTGGCTAAACTCGGAATAAACTGGGATTAACTCACGCAACCCGTTGGTCTGAGTGAGTTACCGAGTTGTTTGAAAGCTCCCCAGTTCCCATGCTTTCAAAAACTTTATTTCAAAAAAAAAAAAGGACACAGACCGGCGTCGGGTTCTTTTGCTCTTAAGTCTAAACCTTGTTGCTGCTATGACAGTCTCCTTGCGATCATTCTTTTTAGTTCATTATAGCAAGATCTTCCTGCCACTTTTCACTACAAACTCACCAGATAGGCGTGGAGAAGCCATGGACACTCTCAAAAAAGAGAGAAGGAGGAAGTTTACAAGAAATCTGCCTCCAAGCCGGCTGTGATGTATGTGAAGGAAATGTAAATGAAAGGACAACACTAACTTGAGACATGATGTGTGAGGAGAGGAGGGAGGTAAGTGAACACATGTGAGAAAGAAAGAGTAAAGTGGAAAATAATTAAGAAAATAGGAGGAAAGATTGGGTCCTAAGACAGAGAACAAAGAAAAAAAAATAATGGAGAGAAAAATTCATATACATCAGAATATTTTGTAATTTGGAGATTTATTCAAAGATCAAATATTATATTTTTATAATTAAATTATATTATTTTAATTATCATCGGTTTGATTCTAAGTTGACTCTGGTCTAACCCGCTAGCCCTTGAACCAGTGCCTCTACCGGTTTAGTTTTTAGTACCTTGGTGGTAACCACTTACCATCAATAGAAATATTTTAGAGAAAAAACTATAAATATGGGGATAAAGTATATTAAAATCTTATATTTAGGACCAAATATAATCTCAACTCGCTTTTATATTAAGGAATAGAGGTAATATATATTTTTTTATCAAATGCTATTTTTTTGCATAAGCTCTAAAAATTTGATTTTGAGATTATAATGGAAAGAGGCCTATTGAGTACATCATTGATGATGTCCCTAAAGGCATACCAAAGGATGATTGAAAAAAAATGGTTGAGTTTAGAAAAACTCTTGAGCTAAAGGTATATTTGTTTTAAATTATAATAATCTAACTTTTGTTTTAAATTATGTGACTAAGGACAATAGTTGGGAGAAAGAGAGTGGATTGCTCATGGGAAGGTTGGAGAATTTTGAGATATTTTTATTTTCTTTAGAAATATATAGTATCTATAATTTCACAAGGATGAAGAAGAAAAACTACAAACTCAACATGATGGTATCAAAATAAGAAAGCCATATATAACTGGTCGAATTTATAAAAGAAGTAAACAAACAAATTGAGGTTCAACTGGCTAAAATATGTTAGAATATGTATGATTACCTTGCCCAACAATTTGAAAACCTACAAGTAATTATTTATAATACTTTAATTTTATAACAATTTATAGTCATGATTATTTTTTTCTACGTAGGAACTCTCCAAATATAATGATATACATGGTAGCAGCTATTAGAGAACACATAAGGCCATAATAGCCTCTGCAACAGGCATGAAAGGTTTGAGAGACATTGACTTTGGGCAGTTTCAAGAAGAGATCCTAATGGACCTTAGAGTAAAGATTCGACAGTTAGTGTGAACGGAGATTCTTTTAAACATTTAGTAAGAGATTTGTACAGAGGTGCAAAAGAAAATATTTTCTTCTTCCATAAAGTCAAGTGAGCATGTCCAGGGCTTGAGTTATATCCATTGGAGATAAACAACTAAATCCAAATCCTTCCTCGAATTAGACTACGGCTTCATGAATTAATGGACCTTAGAGTAAAGATTCGACAGTTAGTGTGAACGGAGATTCTTTTAAACATTTAGTAAGAGATTTGTACAGAGGTGCAAAAGAAAATATTTTCTTCCATAAAGTCAAGTGAGCATGTCCAGGGCTTGAGTTATATCCATTGGAGATAAACAACTAAAATCCAAATCCTTCCTCGAATTAGACTACGATGAATTGGTAATATCTAAATCACATTCTGATACCATTTGAAGTCAAAAGCAAATATTTTCCTCTATGAAGTCAAGTGAGCATGTCCGAAACTTGAGTTGTATTTATTGTAGATGAACAACTCAAATCCAGATCCCTCTTAAACTAGGCTAAGGATTCATGAATTGGTAATACCTAAATCACGTTTTGATACCACTTGAAGTTACTAGGTTTACTTTGTAATAATTTATAGTCATGATTATTTTTTCTATGTAGGAATTCTCCAAACAGAACCGTATGAATGACAACAGCCGATAGAGGGCACCTAAAACTGCAACGGTCTCTACATCAGGCATGAAATGTGTGAGGGACATTGACTTCAAATAATTTTGATAAGAGATCCTAATGGATCTTAGAGCCAAGATTCGAGGAGAGGTTATCTAATTGTGCAGGCCCTGACAGAAACATCTACTCACAGACATACAAAAAATTGTACATCCACACAAAATATTTCTCTTTGTGTGTATAAATAGGACCAAAAAATATCTTCTCTCTCTGCCCTATAAATAGGACCAGAGGAGTATATGGTTAGGTTTTTTGTTGACTTCTCATTGGGAATACTTTATTTTCTACTGCAGTTAAGGAGGTAAAAGATGAGAACTTAATAGAAAATTTTTGAAATCACATTGTCAAGTCACTAATTTGTTTGTTGTATTTACATTTCAAACGGACCAATGGTTGGTTTTATTCTCCCTCTCAGAAGGCCATGGCACAAGGAAAACCTGACCCATGTCCTCTGTATACCCAGTGGCTGAAACAGTTAAAGGTTGTTTAACATTTTAGATTTCATGTATCCTCTGCTTTGCGGGATTAGGGGTTTAATTAGTTGGATACCACTTTGTAAGTTTACATTTTGTTTAAAATTGTAGCAGCAGCAATACCTACCACTTTCTAAATTGATCTCCTATTGGAGATGTTTACAGTTATTTGGTATTTCACACTATCAACTAGTTTAGATTTTAGCATTATTGGGTTCAAATAAGTAGTTCTTTTAAACATAATTTTTTCCTATCTATAACGACCCTTCTATTTTAAATGCTACCGAGTCTTTTTCACTTTGCCTAATCATAATTGCCGTGTATTTGATATGAAAGTAATGTTTGAAAAATTAGATCTAACTAGCCAGTTTAGTTAGTTGGATAAGGAATTAATCTAATGTCTTGTCCAACCTTAGGCGCAAAGTAAAAAACGGGCTAGACCTAT